TAGTGCGAATGCAAACAAGTGAGCAGGCAAACGAAGTAAAAGAAAGTGATAAACAAGTTGCATTTATTGCATTAAATAGTGACATTTAGTGACAAGTGAACTGCAAGACTATATGACAGATATACAAGATTTAAAGATAGAAATAAAAATAGGTACGGCCAAGAGTGGGGAGACGTTGATTGCAGAGAAAAAGGGAACGCAGAGTGGTATTTGCCAAGGTAAAGAAATAAAATTAGAACCTCTAATAGTTAATGGTATGTCACATAACTTAATTTCTGTGTCAAAATTATTAACAAAAGGTTTTAAAATAATATTTGAAACTGATAAAACAGGTAGAAAACATGCAAAAATAATATACAACAATGTTGCATTTTATTGTGAAAGTTTTAATAATTTATTGCTATAAAGTAATAAATGATAATGCAGGAAATATTTGGCATAAGAGACTAGGACATTTAAATCGTTATGGTCTAAAACAGTTAAATTTACCTTATAGTGATGAAATTTGTAGTAATTGTGTTGAAGGTAAAAGTACTAGAAAAACTTTTTATCAATGTACTAGAAAAACTACTCGGATTGATCAACTTATTCATACAGATATTGCAGGGCCAGTGGCAACTCCATCTTTAGAAGGTCATAGGTACTTTCAGGTTTTACTTGATGACTATTCACATTTTTTGGTAGTCAAATTGTTAAAATCTAAAGATGAGGCTGCTCAAAACGTTATTGATTTTATTAAGCTAATAAAAACACAATAGGGTCAAAAAACACAAAAAATTAGATGTGATAATGGTGGTGAATTTTCTTCAAATTATTTCAAACAGTATTGCAAAAATAAGGGTATTGATATTGAGTATACGCTGCCATATAGCCCGCAACAGAACGGTAAGTCTGAGGGTATGAACCGAACTTTGTTAGATAAAGTAAGAACTAAATTTGCTGAAACAAATTTACCCAAAGAGTTATGGGGAGAGGCAATCTTATGTTCAGCATAAATTAAGAGTTTTTGGGAGTAAGGCATGGTTAGTTGTTTTACCAAAAGCAAATAAATTAGAGAAACGTGCAAAATTGTGTATCATGACTGGATATGGTTTAAATGGATACAGGCTTTGGGATTTTGAGAAGAATGAGATTATATATTCAAGAGATGTTACATTTGATGAAAATCAGACAAATTACAATGAGTTAATAGAAGAAGTTAAAGACGAAAACATAGCGATGAAGAAAATAATAATAAGAGATGAAGAAAATTACAATAAAGAGACAGAAGCAGACGAAAATGAAGTAGGTAGAATAAATGAATCAGAAGATGATAATGATGGAATAGAGTCAGAAAGTTTAAATGATAAAGACAGAAATGTAACAAAAAATGAGACATCAAGACATGGAAGAAAGATAAACACACCAAAACATCTTAGTGAGTATGAAATTTACTCAGCATATTGTTTGCTAACATCACAATGATCCAAAGAATTACGATGAGGCGATAAAAACAGTTGAATGGAAGGAAGCTACAAAAAAGGAATTACACTCGCATGAAAAAATGCAAACCTGGACTGAAATGCAATTACCAGAAGGTAAAACACCGATACAGACAAAATGGGTATTTCGAACAAAAGCACGTATGGCAACAATAAGAGTTTTATTCTCCATAGCATTACAGAAAGATTGGAAAATAAAACAGTTAGATATTACTACAGCTTTCTTAAATGGAAAATTAGAAACTGAGGTTTATGTATATCCACCTGAAGGTCTTCAAACAAAATCAACAGTTTTAAGATTAAATCGAGCTTTATATTGTCTCAAAGAGTCTCCAAAAGTTTGGAATGAAACTTTTAATAATTTTGCTATAGAAAACAATTTTCAAAGATCAAGACATGATTGCTGCTTGTACTGTGGTAAAAATAACTGGATATTATTATATGTAGACGACATGTTAGTAGTGGGGAAGAATGAAAACATTGAAGAAACAGTATTTTTACTAAAGAAACATTTTCAAGCAAAAGATATGGGAGAAGTCAAGAATTTCTTAGGGATGACAATAAACAGAAAGGAAGATCAAGGTAAATTAGAAATAAAGCAAACAAAATTTATTGAAAAACTATTGGAAAATTTTAACATGAAAGAATGTAGTGGAAAATCTACACCTATGGAAAAAGGATTTCAATATAATGAAAATAGTGAGATTGTGAATGTTCCTTACAGGCAATTGATCGGAGGACTGATGTACTTGTCAACAACTACACGACCTGATATAACATTTTCTGTTTCATATTTAAGTAGATTTCTGGACAAGCCAACAAATGATACTTGGAACACAGGAAAAAGAATATTACGTTATTTAAAAACTACTAAATTTAAAGGATTAACTTTTGTGAAAAATGAATCAAACAATGACAAAGTAAAATTAAAAGCTTTTTCAGATTCAGATTGGGCATCAGATAAACATGATCGGAAGAGTGTAAGTAGTTGCTTAATTTTACTTGGTAACAGCCCTGTATGCTGGTTTTCAAAGAAACAGGGATGTGTTGCTCTTTCTACCGTCGAAGCGGAGTATGTTGCAGCGGCTGCTTGTGCTCAGGACCTAATGAATCTTAAAGGGGTGTTAAATGATTTTAAGCTTAATATTCCCACACTACTTTTTTGTGATAACAGAAGTTCAATATTAATGTCAAAAAGTAATGAGAATTCAAAAAGGGCTAAACACATAGATATAAAGAATCATTATTTAAAAGATTTAGTATTACACAAGAAAATATCTGTTGAATATGTACCAACTGAGGAAAATTTAGCAGACATGTTAACAAAACCTTTAAGCAAGGATTTATTTGTAAAACTTAGAGATAAGTGTAATATTGTATAACACCGCAATTGTTTATTCTTGTAATCACGATTTTCATTTATCCAAACATTTGTAAAACTTCAAATCGAGGAGGAGTGTTGTGGTTACTTGTCATTAATCCACTGCAAGAAGAGAAGAGGAAACGGTGCAGAATAGAACCTAACCTAACATGAGAGAAAGTGTTAATTTAAAATAAGTGTATTCATTATTAATAAAGTTATTTTAGTTTAATACATCCGTGTGTTCATAAATTCACAACACAAAATACTGAAAGCTAAAAACAAAAACCAAATAATTCTCTATATTTTTTTCAATATGCTTGTGACATATGAAACTGGGAATACGCCATAACTTTTAAAGGGCTTGAAATAGCGATTTGACATTGATTTGATATCGGCAAAACTTTCAATTTTTCGACAGTATGTAATTTTCAATTTTTGAATAACACACCCTATAATTTTTTGAAATTTACTATTTACCGAGCCACCCGGTGCTGGAGAAAATTCAAAATATTTTTTTTTGCTTGCCGATAACAAATTCGTTGTAACCGGTACTTTTTTTGTAATATTTTGACACAAAAATTTTTGAAGCAACTTTAGAAAATAAGTTTATAGGAAGAAGGAAATTAACAACGGTTTTTTACAGATTCCAAATTTCTTAATTTGGCAACAAAAATGTTTACGTATTTAATAAAAAAAAAGTTCCCGAATGTTTTATTCAATCCAAAAATGTAACAATATACAGCGTGTTCCATTTAAAAAAGTTTTGTCTAGTAGGACCGTAAATAACACACACACACACACACACACACACACACACTCTAGTTGTGTACTTACCAGACTATTTACTTAGAAATCGCTCTTCTTCGTTTCTATCAGTGTCTTGTGATTCGTATTTAGGAATTTCTAAAATGTCTAAACAATCACTATCAATCTTATTACGAGCAAGCATCATAATTTTGCTACTCCTATTCATTCTGAAACAATCTAGAAACAGAACAGAAAAATGCCAGAAAATCACGAGAATTTCAGAAGTCCCCCTACTGGAAGAAAATTATAGGTACCTACCTATTCGTCTTTATACTTGACGCTTGCTACACTCAACACACACCAGAACTGGCGAAAATAACCGAAAGAATAATATAATAATAATGACGCTTCATACGCGAATAAGTATATGATTAAAATAGATTTGTATATAGTTTACCCTTAACATTGATGCCAAGATGTGTGACGCTCTAGACGGGAACAAGTGTCCGTACAATATACTCAATGTAAATATACACATAATCTTCGGTAGCACCGCGCACGGTCTACACTAGGGTAAATACCAGCTTTCTTATTAAAAAACCACATATTATTGCATTTTGTCTAACTATTTTGATTAGGCTCTAAAATAATTCACAAATTATTTTGGATTCGTTATGGAAGGTCTATTGTCACATATTGATGGATGTAAATTAATACAGGGCGAGTGAAAATAAAGTACAAAAATTTCATTATAAAAGTCACTTTTTAAAGGGGTAAGGGGTAATGTACATGTTTATACGATTTGGCATAAAAAATTAAAGTGACTTGATTAAGGTCACCTGTTCCATAAATTTACAGTTTTGTAAATAACTGACAGCTACATTCACACACACTACCCATTAACCCTCATACTGTTTTATGGGGAAATTTTCTTTGCGGATATTTTCACTGATATTCTCTTGTGGTTAAAGATGTTCTTTTGTAATTTAAACACAACTATCACATAGATCCGATCTTTCATTTTGAATTATATTTATTATTTAATTTTTGTACTTCATTATTAATTAATAATAAATTTGGCCCTGCCAAAGTCATTTTTGACATCAAATTCAAAATTTGTCGAAAACGGTAAGACTATACAGGGCGTTCCATTTAACGAAACTTCCTGTATATATCAAAAATGTAAATGAAACTATGCCACTTTTATATTTAACTTTTAAAGGGGTAGGGAACCTTATTGCAGACACCCTGTACAAAGTTTATCTATGCTTATGGCCGATACCGAAATTGAACGGAAACATGAAAGGGACTGGTACTAGAAATCAAATTTCTTTTTTTAAATAAAAAAAAGGAAATCTGCCTCACAAGTGAAAATTTTGTACGAAATATATATACATACAACTTTTTTATTGTATAATTGTCTATTTTTATAATAAAATAAAATAACAATCTGCTTACATTAAGATTAATTAACAGATGAATGTTATATTACATGAAAACCAAAATACTGATTTATTTATTATATTTCTTTGGATATTAGCAACTCCTCCACGCCCAAGCGGCCTTGGTGTTTCCACACTCTGTACCGGGCTAAATCCTTCCTGGTTACCATGCCAATGACCTAAAAAAATTGAAGAGCTTATATCAGAATTATATCCATTTGTAATGACGTAATTTTTGTCTATCTGTATTTAATAGGTTTCGAACAGCGACGACAACACAGCTTTGTCAAAAAGGAACGTCGGATGGCTATTTTATCTTTAGTTAAGGTTATGTGAAACATCCACCACTGTCAGTCAAAAACATTGCTTTGCCGACTTGTCAAAAGTTTTTTCGAAAGGTTTTAAATAATGAGCAAGATCACATCAAATAGACGCCCCAAATTCCACTTGAACATGAAAATTAAATCAACGTATTTTTTAGTTTATTTTACCATTTCGTCAATGACTATTTTACAAAATTGGAAAATCTGACTCAATTTTTTTTTCAAATGATCGCTATTTCTGAACTCGTTGGAAATCAAAGGCATTTCTTACAAACATCATAAATGCACACCGCAAAAAATAGTCTCATTTTCTAAAATTAAACATCAATAGTTCAATTCGTTTAAATCGATTCAAATGTAAAGAAAGTGACTCGCCGGTGCAACAACTTTCTCATGTTGAACTACCAAAGGTTCTTAGTTCAATTCAACAAATCACAGTTTGATTTCATTTATCGCCCTGTTGGGCCGGATGAGGTTACAAAAAAACAGTCTTTTTTACCCAATTTAGACTAAACAAAATATGGACTCGGCATCAGGGTGGGGTCCCAATTCACTAATTAGAAAATATGACATCATTTCAATAACACCGTGTATGCGAAACAGACTGTACCCAGTGTTGATAGGGTTGCGGAATTCAACGGTCAAATTTTTTTGTGTCAATTGACCGCAATAATTTATAAAATGCAATGAAATTTATATTTATTTATTTATATTGTACGTTACGTTGCCATGACGTCGTTCTGAGAACTAAATGGCGTGCATATTTTTATTGGGATTCCCCGGATTGTACATCACAAACGCATAATAATTGATTATAAAACACATTATTATAAAATAATGAGGACTTTTAGGAGGTACCTCGGTTATTTTTTAAGATAGAAAGTTGCGGGTTACTCTACACTGTGCTCCTTTTTTGTGAAATTTAAGATGCCGTCAACAAAATTATTATGGCCCTCTCTTGGTTTTTGAGATGCGACGTGAAATCAACAACCATCGATTTTTCGAGCACCCTCGTATCTCTATTGTCTTTTAAGTCATTGAAGAGTCTAAGAAACTTTCTTATAGGATTTTTTGTAGAATCCAGTGGCGTAGTTTGTTTTTTACTTCCTCTAAATATATTTTTAATGGAGCACCCTTTATAATATTTTCTACATTAATTGGAAATCACTTAGGCTTTTGAGAAATATTTATTAGTATAATATAATATAAAGTTGTTTTGAAAATTAAGCTCAAAATTTATTTATTTTTTTCATATTTTATTTTATTTGTAGCAGTAGGCTATGCTTAACCTATTAAAAACAATATCTAAGTAAACAATTATTAACATACATTTAAAAATGTGTTTTATACGTTATTAATAACTATTTGTAAAAATTTTCAGCTTTTTATAGTCCATTATTACATTAATTAAGATAATATTATACCTAAAACTAATGTTCAAATTGGAGACCATTTTCTTGAATGCACAACTCCTACATTTTTCTTATTTTGTTAATGGCATTTAAAAGACTCCTTCGTAGAGTTTCAAAAGTTAAATCAATTGCACCTCGAAACTTCTGCTACAGATTCGCATCGTGTTTTATATACTTTATTTTGCATATGTCCCCATAAAAAGAAATGTAAAACTGAACTGTAAGATCTGCAGATTGTGGAGGCTATCTTATAAATCCGTTGGTAACTATCCATTTTTGTTAAGTTAAGAATTTTAATTAGACAATAGCAACATGATATAATGGGACTTTCAGAGACTTGATTAACAGCAAACAGACAACAGGGTTGTCCTTGTACGAATAGGCAAAGATGGCAGGGTTGGGGGAGTGGAGTTGTAAGTAAACCATAACTTAGAATTTAATGTTATGTTCGCGGCCACAGAAAATGTTTTGGAAACGGTCTGGATTGAAATAAAAGTTGCTACAGTAAAGTATGTGGTTATATCATTATATAGACCACCCAAAAGCAATTTTGACTCGTTTTTAAATATTTGGAGTCGAATTTGCAATTTTCTTCCAGCCAATATAATTTGCGGTGAAGATATAAATGCAGACCTATTACCTTTAACAGACTGCCAAACCAGAGACTTTTATGATTATATTGTTTCTCTTAATTTACAGTAAATTATTATAGTACCAACGCGAATTACAGATAAATCCTCCACCTTACTGGATATCATTCTTATATGTAGAGAAGTGCTGCAAAGTGATGTAACTAAAACCGGTAAAACAGTAAAATTTTTAAGAATCTGGAATTCTTATCTTTAACACCTTGAAAGGATATAATTTCAGTGTTGTGATACTTTTTATATTATTTGGCTGCGAACTAAATATTATATATAATATCTATTTTGTTTCTCATAAAATTTTTCACTGCGAGAAACCCTGTAGATTTATGACCGACATAGAAATAAAAATAAATGACTAAACAAACCTCATTTGTGTCGTTTACAATAGGTAAATGCCGAAGTCCCAGGGCTCTGAACAGTCTAAACATTCTAGGCAATGATGTCGACTAAAAAATTAAAAGTCCCATTAGTTTCCCTAAACTCGGAAAAAAAAGTTTCGGGTAAGTCTCATTAGGTACTTGCATGTAAAACCGTGTAAGGCGAAGGGTTCATAAACGGCCTCAAATCCACGTAAAAAGTTTTTTCTTCCTCGGTCAGCAACACTTCCTATGATAAATTTTCTTATATTGCGAAATAATCATTAATTTCTTTTTGACCTACAGTCACTGTCGGGTACCTGGGGTATTCTTCTCTGAACACGCTGGCACTCATAAACTCCCAATCTTCCGAAGTTTCATTAAAAATTTTCCTTTTAAGTATGACCAACAGCTGGGACCTCAATATTAGACCACGTATACGACCGTACGTTCTAACTTCAGCCTAAAACAAAAAAACTAAATTGTTCCTCTTGATAAGTATTACAGTAGTCGCACTTCATCTGACAATGGAGGATCGACAACTGGAAAACCGTTATAGCTCGTCAGCTTCATCAGTTCTGCAATGTGGCCGACGTTTTCCACGCATTTTAAAGTTACCACCGGGTGCGACATAACCTCACTAGCGTAGATGTTACGCGCTAACGGAGGCGGTTCCCACGGAAGTAGTGGGACTCCCGACAGCTGGATTAACGTGTCATATATGCCCTAAAAATTATCAAAATGAATATACTGGAGCACAGTGGAGATGGAAGGACCCTCTTCCAAAGAAGCCAGCCACCGACTATCAAACTATTCTAAACTACGACATTCATTGAATCCAAATAAGTGTATGATTAAGCTAAATTTTTTTGCTTCGCTAGAAATGTTTATTAGTCAATTTAGAACACATCCGCCCAATATTTTTGAAATGCTCAAACTAACCACGTGGTCGAACCCGCGAAAATCGACGGTGACGGGTGACGTCACGATCCACTATTATCAGACGAATAGAAAAAACGAAGATACAATATCTGACAAAATTAAAGCAAAATTGAGCAATTTGATTACAAACAAAACCTTTTAATAACTTTAAGTTATTGACTGATGAAACTACAATAAAATAAAATTTTATGGTAGTAGATAAATGATTGTCATAAATGGTTTCCAAAGAAAAGTAAAATTAAATCACTTCTTCGTTAGAATTAATATTTGATTCATTATTCACACTGGATCCTCCTATGCCGAGTGTTGATAAATAAAATATGCGAATCATTCTGCTAGCTTCTTCACAACTGAACTTTTCTTTAGCCTTTCACCAAAATGAAGAAAAAAAGTGTCTCTAATCTAAACAACTTGGAAAATGCCTATTTTTGTAGTTTTTCAATATTTGATCCACATATTTGCCAACATGTTAAAAAAGTGGTAACAGTTCACGTTTTTGTTATAATTGTTTTGATATTTCACGGGATCATATTGGTTAAGTTGGAGACACTTTTTTTTTTCAAAGTCAAATATTTTAAAAAACGTTTATATACAGGTATAGGATATTATCTACAAAATATATTTAGAATTTCAGACTGTCTCAAAATATAAGTTGGGTGTGTAAAAGTAGCCTGTGAAAGTTTCTTTGAAATTAATATTTGGCACAATATCCTTAATTTTCAATCATAGCTTCGCAAGGTCTACTTTCTTCACTAATGGAGTTCCACCGTTTTTAATTTCTTGGAATAATTCGGCCCGATTTTTGAAATATTTTTTCTCCCTCCCTTCACCCTCTCCTCCCTCCATACTCTCTCCCTCCCCTCTCCCTCCTCTCTCTCAGTTATTCAGAAGTTGATTACAATCAAATCAAATTTATGCAGGAGGCTGTTCTATCTAGCCCACATCTATGCCTAGATCAATAACAATTCTTACCTCGTTGAAGAAATCGCCTGTCCATTTGGCAGAAATTACCGACAGGATGAGGGGCAGCGCAAACGTTATATTTCCAGTGCACTCCATTAGTATAACGGTAAGACTGATGGTCATCCTTACGACTCCGCCTAGTTGAGCAGCTGCTCCGATCAAAGCGTACTTTCCGGGGTGTGCGATGTTCTAAATGTAAAATATCAATATGTAAGAAAAATGTAAAAAATAACGCAAACACTCCCTTTCAAAATAAACGCACCACATACAATTTCCGACTTATTTGTATTTAAAAACGTCTCCCAAAAATATTAGCATTTACTGCATTCTTTTATGTGCTAAGTCAATATTTAACAAAGGAGCTTTAATTGATTCAATTAGAAGATAGGTATAAACCTGTGTCGTGGTCTATATTATTGTGGTGTATGATTGTTTGCATTGGCCCACGAATTTTTCTTACATAGAAGATAGTATCATTGTTTTATCGAATAAAATCTGGTGTTCTGTTTCTTGGCCGATCTCTGCCTGTCTGCTTGACGGTTCTTTTAGGTTGCTTGATATTTATCGACCTGTTCCTCAGATATATTTTTTCTATGCAGAAAACATGTGCTGTCTGTTATTCAGTTTCCCCCAAGGCTTTGAACAAAAATTCTTTATTTTTTAAACTTTTACTGTGAAATGATAGTGATAATCAGAATTCTTGATTACACCTTACTCACCCTAATTTTTTTCGTACTTAAAACATTTTAGAAGTAAAAAGTGCTCAAAGTACCCCGTTTCCCCGTACATCCTGCATATAAATACAATTTGCTAATGTAATATTATTATCTAGTTAGAGTGAGGGGTTAACACTTGAAATGGATCACCTCTGTACACACTCACCTCTGGATAAATATAAAACATGCCGATGGATATCAGGCGACCCCAAGCGGCGCCTGTCAGCAGGGTGGGTATGAAAAGGCCGTTGGACGAAGACAGCCCGAAAGTCCACGAAGCTAAGAAAAAGTAGATAACGACAAACACAGCCAGGGACAGCGCGTTGTGGGTGTTGGGAGGATCGTGGAACAGCGACTTCACCGAAGCCTCGGGCGTCTGAAACCATATACTAGCCGGAACGTTGATCTGTCCGTCCAAACAGTAAATCTGCACATTTTAAACGATAACCGTGAATTTTAAAATAACAACGTCAAATTGTATTGAAATACCTGAGTGGGATACTTTGTTGGGTCCTGACCCAGCGGCTGGCAGTCGTTTATTAGAAACATCATCAGGAAACCCAGAGTTGCGCTAACTGCTGCGACGATGCAGGCTTCGATTACTTTAAGCCATCTTGCTTGCACGTACCTTTTTTTACGTACATAAATATTAGAGTTGCACCATTGCACGTACCATTAAAAATAGATGTAAAACTTGAGTTGTTCTTGGATTGAAGTTGTTCAATAATGACAAAATTTTAAAATTTTAGATTAGATTATTATTATCATTATTATTATTATTATTAGTATTATTATTTACAGACTCAGAAACGATTCACGTTGGTACGGATTTATGGTTTTCATAAAATTCTTTAAAACTATCCTAATTTTAACGATTTTATATCTCCTACGGTTTCATGCTATCCCGTCCTTATATTGGACATACTGTACAGAAATAACAATTTCGAGAACTAAATTTTAATCTATCTCACTATGATTTTACCAATACATATTTTGCCTTCTTGGAAGAACAAAATTCAGTTTTTGAGTTATATGCGTGACTGCAAAAACCATTTAATTATCAATGTTTACAGCGAGATGGTGCAGTGTCATTATGAAAATAAGTTGAAGTTTGTGAACCGTTTGGTAGAAAAACGTCACATTTTCAGTTACGAATCGATTGCAGAGATGACATAAATTTTTGGTTCTAAAAATTTTGCGTTGTGACTCTTAAGTTCATACAGGTAGATCAATACAAAATACTTAATTTTTATTAAGGTGCATCATTTCCAAAGTGACTGTCTTATAGATAAAAGTTGAGCATTTTTTTAAAGTCAGTCGTTAATTAATTTTTAAAGAACGTATCCTGTCAAGACTGGAACAAGAGCAGGACAAAAATAATTTGATAGGCAATTTTGAAGTTGTTGCTGATCTAACTGTACAACCTGTACTACCTTGCCCAAAAGGAGATGCGTCAACCTTTTATTTTCCTTGGAATTACCTGTGTATAATTTAACGTCCTATAATTTGAAATCTAAAGAGGATAGATGCTATGTCTGGCATGAGGCCGAAGGTAACAGAGTGAATGACATTGGCACATGCGTACTTTAGTATTTAAAAGGATTAGAGCCTAAGAATTTTACCATTAATGAAAACCTTGATGTATTTTTCCAAACACACAATTGCTGCGGTGACCAAAAAAATCGCTTTAGGATAGCCACTTATCAGTATGCAGCCAATCCAGAAATTTTTAGTGAAAAAACACCGCCAAAACGAAGGTCCACTCTCTCATTGAACGGCATATCAAAAAGTTCACCGAGAAGCGGTCCACTTTACACTCCAGATAATCGTTTTACGCTTACTCACAAAGGTAAACTGTATGAAGTTGTAGAAATGAACCATCAAGATTTCATGAATTTAAAAGACTTGGAATGCGGATTTATTCAAATTATTCAACTTAAACTTCTCCAAGATTGAATAATAATAGTAATATAGTCAAAAGTGCTTACAAGAAAAAGCCAGGTATTAATGATAAGATGAAAAAAGAGCTTCTTGCTCTTTTCAGGTTAAAAGTGATTCCTTTCTATTATTATAGTTTTTATGAAAATTTGCAAAACGATTTTTTTTTGGTGAATTATTTTTTATAGTTGAATATAATATATATTAATAATAATAATAATAATAATAATAATATAAGAATATTCTGTTTTATTTTTCAACACAAGATTGTAAATTTATTCCTTAGTGTTCAGAAACTAGTAGAATCACATTGAGTTCAGATGTCTATGCGTAGATATTTAAGAATACTTGGGAAATATCATTTTTATTACTACATTTAGTTGTTCATTTAAACCTCTGTTTTAACAGCAAAATAATCTTTGTATCTTTTTTGAGACCTGTTTTCGAAATCTTTTGATGGAGAAAAAGACAAGACACATTTAAAAAGAAAATTGTACAATTTTTTTTGTCTTTATTTTACTAGACTTATATCAATAATTTCACTTATTTTTTGTCGATTTGACTCAATATCGTTATTTTCACGAGTTTAATCTAGGATTGCTTTTTGGCATATTCATTACGGACCATACTTTATTTATTTTTGTTTTTTTATTTCATTAATCTTGAAATACATTTGTTGAGGTTGTTCAACAATAGCAAAATTCTTGAAATTTTTAAATTTTATTCAATGATTTATAAAAGAATATACATACATACAAATACTATATAAATTAAATATTTTATATAAAAATGTTTACATACCTTAGTGATATTATTAGTGAATTAGGGAAGTACAAACATGAAATAACTGACCCGAATATTTTGATTTTCAAGTATAAATTTATGTTTATTGTTGGGTTATAACCGACTTAAATTACTAATATGTTTTCTATCATTTATAGCATTTATTTCTTTTTTAATTTATTTTTTAATTTCTTTTCAATGAGTTTTATTGTCAATTTTTTTCTTTTAAATTAAATTCATAGTTTGTTAGATTTTAATGTTTATGTAAAGCACTAAAATTATAACTACACGTGAAACCAAAAAATGGGAAGATTATATTACACTTCTTTTTTATTATAAGATTCTATAGAAGCATTAAATAAAAATTCTGTCATATCAAGTACCAACAACTAAATGGATATTATATGGGCTTACTGATTTCATCAACAGTGGTCACAACTTGTTATGGAATAATTACAAATTATGGCAAAAAATCATTACCATTCTTAATGCTTTTAATAATTTTGGTTCTAAATTACATTTGACTATTGAAATTAAGAAAGATAAAAAATACATTTCCTTTGCCTAGCGTTAAAAATAAATAATAACATAAAATCAAAATAGTTAGAAAAGATAACATGAACAAAAATTTTAGACAGGGAACCGAGATAAAAAAAAATCAAAGAATAATACAATTAATCAGAAATATGTTGCAATACTATATTTAAATAAAATATCTGAAAAAATATAACTTTCTTAATATATCACAGTTTGTGACAAATCTTACAAATTAATAAAATCAATTTTTACCCCATTAAAAAGTAACATTCCAGTTAAAAATATTATAAATGTATATAAACATACTAAAAATTAAAATTTTAACAAACCATGAATTTAATGTTAAAGAAACTAAAATTTTAACGCAAGATAATAATAATAAAAAAGTTCAATAAAACAAATGAGTCATATTAAAAGAGAAATAAATACTGTGAAGGATATCAGTAATTTAAGTCAATTATACCATAACTTAATAACACAATATAAATAAAAAATAAATTATTAGCAACTAATAATAAATATAAACTTGAAGTGAAAATATTAATGTCAGTTATTTCACATTTGTACTTTAATAATTCACCGGAAATATCACTAAGGTATATAAATATGTTTAACAATATATTTAATGTATATTATATTTTTATGTATTATATATTCCCGTGATGTTAGTTGTATAGCACTAGATCTATTGTTAAACCTGTAGTAACAGCATTTTCTAGGGTGATTAGAATTATAATTAAGATTTGTTGTCTTTATCTCATTATCATCAAGATTTCTTATTAAAGTTAAGGCAAGAAATTTTGTTTTCAAATATCTAAGACATCCGGTATGTACAAGGTGTTTTAAAAAAAATGTACCACCGTTGGAGCGGAGATTGTTCACGTAAAAATAAGACTTTTTTTATATCAACAATCTGCTTCGTTTCGTAGTTACAGGGTGCTATTATTTTAAATTTTTCTGATTTACTCCAGATTTGTCCAAAACAACTTTAGCAATTCCGATAAAAATTGAAGGCTATAAGTTATCTAAAATAGTGCATATTTTATTACAAAAAGAGTTTTGACAACTTGACCACTGGCGTGCGTATTGGCTATCGCTGCAATACTTTTCTACAAAAACCTGAGCGCTACTGACATTTCTTTGTTTAATAGCAAAATAAAGAGGCTGTTTATTGCCTATTAAACGCCATCTTTTAAACGTTTGTCGATTTAGATTTCTTTATTGAGATAAATGCATTTATGTTGTGTTATGGACTGTATTGAATATCTTTATATTTTAAAGATTCTCAAGGCATTTAATTTAAACCAAGTATAATTAAAGGTTTCTAAAATCTATTTCTTTAAATCACTTTTACCCTCCAAATGGTCGTTTTGTATAAATTTGGAGTAAATAACCTATGTTGATATAAAAAAGTCTTATTTTTAATAGAGAAATCTCCCATCTGGCGATGGCACGCGTTTTTTGAAACACCCTGTATAATATTCACGTCAACGTAAAGTAGCTTACCTCATTCGGAACACGGTAATCTTGTAATTGATGTGATTCCACAGCGCCCCCAGGAGGCCGCCAATGCAACCCATGATGATAAACAGCGGAAGTTCGAACATTTCGTATTTGAACGTCTCGAATTTGCCCAAATTTAAAAGGCCCGGATAGGTCAAATCTCCAGGCGCCCCGTGATAAGCGGACAAGACAAAGTTTAAAGTGAACGTCGACATAATCGACGCGAAGAATGTTTTCCATGTAAGACTCTGGTTCCAGAAACTGGCGCCCTCTTCCAAAGAGAACAACACACCACCTGGAAATAAAATGCGTTATAAGCTACCCTCACATAACTTTTTAATTTGCCAGAAATGTAAAAAACGCCAAATATTGTTCAAGAACACCAATTCAGAGCCCGTGCAAATCGTCTGTGACGTCTCTTAGAAATAAGCAAACATTTTAAATTAAGCTTGAATCTCCTGGTGCCATCTAATTTCAGCTATTATGCGAATAAAAAAAAAGTTTTTGTCAGATTCTTTAAGGGAACGAATTCGTGTTATTTGTCCCTTGAGAAACGATGTTTCACAAGTACTAATCAATAACCTATTAGTACTAGCAGAAAGTAGATGTCAAACTATATTTAAAAGAAAAAAAAAGGTATTGATCACAGAGATCAGAGAGCGTTTATTTAGTCCATTGAATAAGAATATAATACAATGTAAGAAAAAAGAAGTCTTATCGAATTGCAAAATCGCCAATCTTAATAATAAAGGGTTAAAGGTTTTAGACTAGTTTAAAAATCCTTTTCGGCTGACGGATCGTGACGTCACAAAGCGTTTTCATGTGACGTCATATTTAATATTTAATTTAATTTAATATTTAATATTTAATTATTTAATATTTATTCCGAGAAAAATAATAATTATGTGGACTCAAATTTACATTTTTCTTAACGATGTATATGTGAATGCAGAATTCTAACCTATTGGGGCACCGAAAGCGGCAGCTACACCAGCGGCAGCGCCTCCAGACACAAAATCGCGCTTCTCGTGGTCTTCTCGAAAATATTGAAATAATTTGAAGTCCCTGTTGAAAGTGGTGCTTTTCCCTTGAGACAAACCTGCGGCGATGACTGCTCCGGAATGAATCATAGGGCCTTCCTTAAATTAATTAAATATATATAGACATATAAAAAGGGGTGCTTCTAGTAATTCGCGGAAAAATATACTAAGTGAATCGACAATGAGAAAATGCTGGAAAGTATTTTCTAGTTTAAGTGATGACCGCCAGGGGCGCGTATTAGGGTCCTAGCACATATTTTTTGCATTGAATGAAAATGCTTAGTAAGATTTAAAAAGTATTTCCCTTAAATATTTTTACCAGAAGCGAAATATGAATTAACAATTAAAATTTGAAACGGACAATTTCCCGCTAACAAAATAATGTGAACATTTCAGTTGTTGGTGACGTCACGAGGTACGTTTTCGTGTTTTAAGTTATCAGCATTAACATTTTTCGTGCGTTTTCAGTTAATTTTGAATTGAAAATGGGTTATCGTTATTGCATGGTGCCAGATTGTAAAACTGAGGTAATTTCTGCCAAAGGGAAAAGCATTAATTAAATTTAAAAAAACAAATGAATAATATAGTTAAAAGCTATTAGACGTGAACATTAACAAACCACGTTTACTTTTGTGAAGACCATTTTAACATAAGTATTTTATTTCTTATTTGTTTAAAAATGTAATGTACTCTAAAAAACTACTTTCCAAATAATTCAGAGAAAAATAAATAGCAGCCTATATTAACACTTCTGTTTGTTGTACTGAAGTGGCTTTTACTTCTAGTAAATTTAATTTTCTACTTTTTGAAACAGCGTGTAAAATATCGAAATTGTCGTCAAAATTGTGTTTTTCTAAATTTAAATGTATAGCGTAATTAGAATCTGAACTATTGTTTTTAAATGATCGTCGATGTTCGTTGATACGTTTTTTGAAAGATCTACCTGTTTGTCCAATATAAATCTTAGAACATGATCCGCAATTCAATCTATAGATTCCAGAATTCTGGGATCTATTAGATTTAGATTTATTGCTTTTAACAAATTTTCTAAAATCAGCGACCATCAAGAAATCCACCAAAGGCAGATTATTAGATTGTGCTTTTGAAAATTCTTGGGCCATATTGGAAATATGGAAATATCACAAATAACAACTACACGAAGGCAATAAATTCAAACCACGAGGAATAAAATCAAACAAAACCACGGACCAAACAATATGAAACGTAAGCGACAATGTCCCACGTAACTCATGACCTCGCGACCAATGATGTCAATATTAAAGGACGCGGACGAGCTTTCTAGAATTAATTAGTTAGAGATTAATTAATAATTCTGGAACAATATTTTAGAAGGTAATTAAAAAGTTTTCATGTCAATCTAAAAATATGTGCCTATTACCATCTTGAATCTTAAAACCCGGTTTCTCAAAAATTTTCTTATATTCACTGCACTTGAAGTGAGTACCTTTTCAAACATACGATAGAATCAAATGTTTTTGTTTATTGCTCCTATCTGTCTCTAAGAGAGGGTATTGGAATATTTGCCGATATAAATATTGAGCCTATAACCTTGTAATAACCTTGGATTCTCTAAAAATAGCTTTTCCTAGGCTATCATTCGTATTATTTCTTTATTTATTTATTTACAATAACAATAAGTAGAATTAAGTGGCAGCACTCAAACGGAACACATCAGAACGAAATGAGCGGAGGCTGCCGACAAAAGGATCGAGCTTTAAACAGTTGCACGCTTATAGTAAGGGGTGAATAAACTCCATAATTTGCGCGATGGTAAGGTATGCGGAACATTGAGTTATCACAGCTTCTGTAATATGCATTAAATTGTATGCTATGTAAAAGAGCTGGACAATAATACCAACCATTCAGAATCTTAAAGAGAGAAACTAAATCACTCTGAGATCTTCTGGTTTGAAGAGTATCAATATTGAAGGCATTAGCTAAATTACTGTAGTTGATCTGATACCCATTACAGATATTGATATGCATGCGTCTTTGAAACCAGAGATATTAAAAATACTTTGATGAAATAATTTGACCTGAGACATAATTATTAATACGAAGCAAGTGAGTATGACCAGACAGAAAACACTTAATCCATTGCACCAGCCCAGCCCTGAGGCCTATAGCTCTAAGTGTAGAGACAAGGTGCACATGACCCATCTGGTCGAATGCCTTTGAGAAATCCGTGTAGCGTAAAGGCGTTCAATAAAAATTGTTGGTAGGTGAGTAAATTTGTTACGGTAGATCTACTCTGTACAAAAAGTCTCTCACAAAATAACCTATCAAGCAGTTTAGAAACTACCGACTGTATGCAAACGCCTCTATAATTAGCGACATCACTGTTATTACCACTCATGTGAATCGGTACCAAAAAGCTAACCTACCTAAAGTCAGGAAAAATACCTGAAGACAAGGACAGGTTAAAAATATGCTGTAGTGGCCTACTCAAAGTACACACAAAATTCTTATTCAAGACTCATGGAATCCCGTCAGGGACATGCGAAAATCCAGTCTGTAAGTTCATAGTACTCTCAAACACATCAGTAAGTGAAACACCCATGGAGTTGAAGTCTAAACTATAGTTAAAACTATAATCACACCCTCACAGTTTTCATAGTGCTTTGCAAACAAGCCAACAATATCCTGACCACAGTCAGCAGAACTTCGCAAACTATTTACATGTTTCCAAAAAGCTTTTGGGTCATATGTGACATCCTGATTAATTCTGATTATATATGCACTGTATTACTACCAGATGGCATTTGTTGACATAATCACAACATAAAAATAATTTTCTATGTCGCTAGATGGTCAAATAAACCTCCGTATTTTGGACCTAAACTAAAATATTAATAAAAGATATTAAAATTTACAAAAAAGGTTGAATCATGTGAAGCATTATTAATATTGAATTATCCTGAATTTTGTCAAAATCAAAAGTTAATTTATTATTTAGGATGCCAAATGATATTTAAAATCAAAATACCATTTTATTTATCTTATAACTTTACAACATTATTTACCACATTTTGATATCCTTGATCATTTTTAATTAGTTTATTATTATTAGTTATCTTTTCATTAAAAATTAGATTTCATTAAATATATGCAGAAGTCTTACAGTCATTGTTACATATAGCACAAAGCTATAATTCCAAATCATTTAATTCTGGAGAAAGAAAATTAGGAAGTTACAAGTTCTGTCCACCCAGGTGCATTTTTTTTTTGGGTTTCCGCTCATCTCAATGAGACTTATCAGCAGGTTTAAGTTCTACTCTTTTCACCCATCTTGTGAACATTTCAAGGATATCCTCCATAATGTGATACAACATTTTAGGGTAAGGTTAGAATTATAATTTTCCACTAATTAGCAGTACAATTAATAAGAATTTGGAGAAAACAGATAACACTAACTTTCTAAAATTAAGTATAACTCACCTTTCCTCCAGCCAAACCCCCGACGACAGAGCAAATCACTCCTATACTTTTAACAAGCAGCGTCTTGATTCTTACCACCCTCGGCACCTTAACGCCATTTAAATAGCATTTTACCTGAGGAATTCCGCTGCCAGCAGCGATTGGTTCCACATAGGCCACTAGTAAAGAACCGACAAGAACTGGACCAACATTGCAAATCACCCAATAAAAATAAGGTATGTAAAGTTTTCCTTGGGTGACATAATGATCCACAGCTAATTTTGTTATAAAGAAAATATTTGATAATAGTACTTGATAAATATTAAAAATATTTTTATTTTAAATTATAATTTTGCAATTTATCTGTTTTTTTATGGTATTTTGCTTACTACTTAATACTTGTAATAAAAGATGAAAAGCAACATATTACAATTGTATGACTGACAAAATATCTGCCGGGTGGTTAAAACCCTAAATTAAAAAAATAAAACCATCGATATTTAATATTAAGATATAACTAAGCTAATAAAAGTTAGCAGTGCAATACAAGGTAGACCACTTACGTAATAATTAAACAGAGGGAAGTTTGGCAACCAACGTTATACGGGTTATATATATTAACAAAAAGGATACATTTACTAAGATGGGAGTATTTAATTTGACTCAATTCCTCTATGGATATGTCTACAACACAAGCAATCAATGCGGTACATACTCCAATCAACAAAAACACAAACCATCTGGCTATATTTTTGTGAACAATAAATTTGTAGCCTTTCTTGCGCTCTTCGTCTAATAGCAGATAATTCTCACAAGTATCATAATCTAAACTCTGAAAATAAATACATAATAAACTAATTTGTATCTAACCTGATGAGAACTGCACATACCTCGAACCTTGCAGATAACACATTCAATGATCCTATGTCCACTTTTTCCGTATTTGTTTGTGCTCTTCTCTCCACAGATGGGATGAGACTAGAATCTTCACCACTACAACTGGGAATAATAGCATCCTCTTCATCTTCATCAAACTGCAACTAAATTGTAGGTTAGATCTATAAAGGGAAAATGTGCACAGCAATTGTGAAAAACAAACCCTTCTAGCGTTTATAGAGCCTCGTTCGAATTCTGCGCTCTCTTCCATGACAGTAAGTTTCTTTCATGGAACCTTAAACGTTCGTTAATTCTTTATTGTTTTTATTTACGCCTTAGTCATAAATAATACAAGTATCACAATTGTGAATAATCATCTTTATCTAAGGGAAACAAAAAAAACCAAAACTAATGACTTTGGGATTCCTACATTTTTTCGTATTCTAGGCTTATGCTATTGGCCAAAGGAGCAGAATCATCGGCCATCTTATGCATTCAGTTAATCCTTTTTATACTGTGCTCGCAAATTAACACAACAACACAACGTTGCCGATCTGATATAATCTTTCGATTTAATCAAGAACTTAGGTCAAGGTTATAGTGGATGCATATTCTGACGAACTATTGTTCTCGTCAGGTTACGTACAAATTCCGTTGTGATTTGTGTTTATTGTTTGTTTATAAATTGGTTACTTTGACAATGGATGTGGAAAAACTAATCAGTTTAGTTTTTGAAAATAAATCTTTATGGGATATGAAGCAAAAAAACTATCATAATAGAGATACTTCTACATTCCCACTTAATTTTTTTTTATTGAAATTACGTAATGTATTTTTTGTTTACATTGCATTCCTTTCAATATTTTATGACGGTTTTTAAGTAAAAATATATTGGAATTGTGCTTTGCCGTAAGGGCTGTAAAAATAATTCTTGAAAACGTCTCGTATTCCTATACAGATATTTCATGGTTGTTTATTTTGTTCGGGTTGTGTTGGAACTCCTTCAATGTCAATTAGTCAATGTTAATTAGTAGATATTCAGGAGTTGGCATATTGAATTTGTTCGTCTGTAAACATTTGTAGACATTAGAGAGGGAAAATATTCCTCCATCACTTTGCTTCCCATAACCTCCAACATCAATAGTAACAAACTTGTAATTTGCATCAGCTATGCCTTGCAACACAATTGAAAAATATTGTTTATAGTTATAATATATCGATCCTGAGTTCTGTGGGCATTTTATTCTACATGAATGCTGCCAACACAATTCGGAAAATTCCATTGTTTGAAGTAGTCTTTTGCATTGTTTTGTACCAAATCGGTTGTAGGCATCGGCATATGTTTCCCTTGAAAAGTATTCCATATTGCAAGATATGTTTCATAAACTATCTGTCGTATTGCAGTATGTGATACTCTGTATGAAAAGCTTAAAGATCTAAATGACATCCCATTAATGGTTATTAAAAAAAAATACAATGTGTATCGTGTGTATTTTGTAAGTATTGTTTTTGTTTCAGTCGAATTCGTAAAAAATAAGTGTTGTGGTTTGCGAGACACCTTTCGTAAAGAGCTTCAGAAACTACCAAAACCACGTTCTGGACAAGGAGGACCAACTAAGGAGTTCAAATGGCCATATTTTAAAAATATGCTGTTTTTAAAAGATCAATTCCTAGGCAGAAAATTACAGAGCAGCATTTTGGAGCCGGAGGTGGATACTCAATCGTGAAATGACGATCCAGTGCCTGATGAATTAGGGGAAGGTGATTTTTCTGAAACTCTTGACAACGTCATTGTCGACCAAAATGCAGCACAAAAGGCAGGAATGGAGAAAAGTATCGAATAACCGATTCACAGGCGAGGTCTCCCGAGTTTGTCCCATCTCAAAGCAAACGTGTTAAAACTGTTAAATCTAATTCCAAATCAAATGCAATTCAACAACTTTTAATAATCGAGCAGAAAAAATTACAAGAATTTAAGTGAAAAGGTGAAGACAGAAAACTAGATGTGAGAGCAAAGCTACAACAGGTATCTGTTGACGAGTTGAAATTCCAACCTTCAAATTGGGGCAATAACAATCCATATTCAGAGCAGTCATCTTCACTAGAGTTTAGATTGCATCAACATCTAATGGGAACTTATACTAGGGCTCCAGACTTCCAACGGCTTTCTAGGGCCAGTAGAGAAGAATCATGGAGATATTCTGAACAAACTAATTCTAGTTCTTCACAATTAAGGATCCCTTCTGGGCCAAGTAGTGGAGAAACTTTTACTAAACAGCAGTTGGATGAAGACTTAGCTTCATATTTTTCATTAACTAATCCACTTAATGAGTAAATAAGTTTCTTTTATTAAGTGTTTTAAAAGAGTTTTATAACTAATTTAAAATAACTAATAAAAAATTTGCAGTCTTACCTTAATGTTCACGACAGTCTTTATTTAGCAGATATACACTCACAAAAATTTGATTGCTTGGTAATATTTTCTTCGATTCCCTCAAGAATATAATGAAATGTTTCTGGTAACATCCTGAAGTACCCAAAAAATTTGTTTGGTTGCTCTAACAGGTCTTTAAATAATGTATGGTACTCCCCATTAATTGGTCTTGAGGAAAATATTTTATTTACTTGTTCCGTTCTGCCCATAAAGGTGCGTCCAGATTACTTACAACAGGTGTTTGTTGACGAGTTGAAATTTCAAACTTCAAATTGTGGCAATAATAATCCATATTCAGAGCAGTCATCTTCACTAGAGTTTAGAATGCATCAACATCCAATGGAAACTTATACTAGGGCTCCAGACTTCCAAAGGCTTTCTAGGGCCGGTAGAGAAGAATCTTGGAGATATTCTGAAGAAAATAATTCTAGTTCTTCACAATTAAGGATCCCTTCTGGGCCAAGTAGTGGAGAAACTTCTACTCAACAGCAGTTGGATGAATACTTAGCTTCATATTTTTCACGAACCAACCCACTTAATGAGTAAATAAGTTTCTTTTGTTAAGTGTTTTAAAAGAGTTTTATAACTAAGTTAAAATAACTAATAAAAAACTTGCAGTCTTACCTTAATGTTAACGACAGTCTTTCTTTAGCAGATATACACTCACAAAAATTTGATTGCTTGGTAATATTTTCTTCGATTCCCTCAAGAATATAATGAAATGTTTCTGGTAACATCCTGAAGTACCCAAAAAATTTGTTTGGTTGCTCTAACAGGTCTTTAAATAATGTATGGTACTCCCCATTAATTGGTCTTGAGGAAAATATTTTATTTACTTGTTCCGTTCTGCCCATAAAGGTGCGTCCAGATTACTTACAACAGGTGTTTGTTGACGAGTTGAAATTTCAAACTTCAAATTGTGGCAATAATAATCCATATTCAGAGCAGTCATCTTCACTAGAGTTTAGAATGCATCAACATCCAATGGAAACTTATACTAGGGCTCCAGACTTCCAAAGGCTTTCTAGGGCCGGTAGAGATGAATCTTGGAGATATTCTGAAGAAAATAATTCTAGTTCTTCACAATTAAGGATCCCTTCTGGGCCAAGTAGTGGAGAAACTTCTACTCAACAGCAGTTGGATGAATACTTAGCTTCATATTTTTCACGAACCAACCCACTTAATGAGTAAATAAGTTTCTTTTGTTAAGTGTTTTAAAAGAGTTTTATAACTAAGTTAAAATAACTAATAAAAAACTTGCAGTCTTACCTTAATGTTAACGACAGTCTTTCTTTAGCAGATATACACTCACAAAAATTTGATTGCTTGGTAATATTTTCTTCGATTCCCTCAAGAATATAATGAAATGTTTCCGGTAACATCCTGAAGTACCCAAAAAATTTGTTTGGTTGCTCTAACAGGTCTTTAAATAATGTATGGTACTCCCCATTAATTGGTCTTGAGGAAAATATTTTATTTACTTGTTCCGTTCTGCCCATAAAGGTGCGTCCAGATTACTTACAACAGGTGTTTGTTGACGAGTTGAAATTTCAAACTTCAAATTGTGGCAATAATAATCCATATTCAGAGCAGTCATCTTCACTAGAGTTTAGAATGCATCAACATCCAATGGAAACTTATACTAGGGCTCCAGACTTCCAAAGGCTTTCTAGGGCCGGTAGAGAAGAATCTTGGAGATATTCTGAAGAAAATAATTCTAGTTCTTCACAATTAAGGATCCCTTCTGGGCCAAGTAGTGGAGAAACTTCTACTCAACAGCAGTTGGATGAATACTTAGCTTCATATTTTTCACGAACCAACCCACTTAATGAGTAAATAAGTTTCTTTTGTTAAGTGTTTTAAAAGAGTTTTATAACTAAGTTAAAATAACTAATAAAAAACTTGCAGTCTTACCTTAATGTTAACGACAGTCTTTCTTTAGCAGATATACACTCACAAAAATTTGATTGCTTGGTAATATTTTCTTCGATTCCTTCAAGAAAATAATGAAATGTTTCCGGTAACATCCTGAAGTACCCAAAAAATTTGTTTGGTTGCTCTAACAGGTCTTTAAATAATGTATGGTACTCCCCATTAATTGGTCTTGAAGAAAATATTTATTTACTTGTTCCATTCTGCTCATAAAGGTGCGTCCAGATTACATGTACTCGTGCTCGTGCTCGCGGTACTTGCGGGACTCCCGAGTAGTGAAGACGTGATGGCAAGTCACAAGACAAGTCACGCGAGCACCGCGAGCCTCGAGAAGATCCGCCTGGTGTCAGTACATCAACGGGACGTGCGACAAGTTGAGCAAGCCGGAAAGTGGTTTACTTTAGTTGATTGCTCGTACTCGTCGACGATGGAGTGGTCTAATGATCTAAGTTTAAAATTCGTAAATATTTATGAAAAGTTCCCAATTTTGTGGGATCCTACCCACAAATTTTAAAAAGTAATACCTAAAAAAAGCTTGTCAGAAGCTTGCAACTTCTGGAAAATCTGGATCAGGGAGCTGATGATGTCGACCTATCTCCTGTGTGGTTCGCATTCACAGACTTTGGATTTTTGCACTCCAAATATGAACCAAAACAGACAATCAATACAGAGGTAAGTAAAATACATTAATAATTACTGTTAATCCATTTATTTTAATAAGGTAGTTGCTTAGCTTATTTTAATGAGCAATTGATAACATATGGTATGTTAATGTACAGGGGGGCTGGTTTAAGAAAGGTGTATACTATATCTCGAAATGTACGAAGTTTGAAAAGAACATTTGTATATAAAAGTTGTCTGAAATAAACTATATTTTTATTTTATCATATATTTGAATATACAGGGTGCGTGAAAAAAGTGGAGCATAATTAACATTTTTTAAACGGAACGCCCTATATTTGACATATTTCTATTCCACTATAAAAACTAAGTATTTTTTGTATAACACACTTTATGCCTAGGTAAATGCACTTACATTAGTTATATGAGCTATTATCTTCATTCG